GGATGTCCCTCTGAAGGTTGGAGATAAAAGGGAGAGGATCAGCTAGCCACAACCTGAAATTGTCAGGCGCTGAGATTGAGGGTGAAGTCATCCAGGAAACCACAAGAGAAGAAAGTTAGGTTGTCCAGAGAACTTCTAAGTTCTGATTACAACTCAGCGCAATCATTTCTCCCCAAAAATAATGAACTGTAAACATTTTGCCATACTATATATATTTGGGTTGAGAATAACATGAAGGAGGCAGCATTATAATACACTGATATTTTGTGGAAAATCAGCATTCTGAAGTGGGCAAAACTTGAGGCATTTGCTAATCTAAGCAAAGACTATTTAATGCTGGCGAAAGAAACATCTCCTAGTCATTGCAGTCCCAGATCCTGCAAAATGATCTGTGTAAGCAGAGCTTGGCACCTATGCCAAGCCCCGCTAACCCTGCAGGGGCACACGGGTCTGCTCACGTGGAACAGTTTGCAGGTTTGGGGCCTGATATTTGAACAAAAGGGAAATGTGTTTTTATATACACATTGTGTTTGTGTAAAGTATATACAATGTGTGTACGCACAATACATGACAGTGATACAATAGAAAGGTTTGATCAAAATGCATTTGGGACAACTGCATTAATCCCAGACGTGAAGCTATTAAAACCCTTTGTACCATTCTGCATATGCCACATATTTTACAAAAGTACAGCTTTGAAATGCTTCCGAATTTGTGTTTGTTTTTACTTTTGTTTGTTTTTGTTTCCTCTCACCTAAAAAGTCAGTCTCTCTCAGTTCCAGGAGAGAAACTAGAAAGGTTTCTGAGAAAAAACAACCCCCCCACTGATACGTAAACAATACATGTCCTAAATAATATTACTATGCATAAAAACATCATGACACATGAATAGATCCCAGATGCTTCTAGAGATAGAAGCAAGTGCAGCTTGTTCACTGCATGGGGAATCCCCCTTTTCTAATGATATAAAGCTCCTTTACTAAAACCCTGAAAGGCTATGAGATATCAGGCCCTAAATCTAACACTGATACCAGGACTGGATATTGCCTATCCTGATCTGTAGGCCAGTGTAATCTGAAGGTCTGGGAAACAAAGAAGACAATTCCATGTTTGGAGAAAAGAGAAGCGCTCTCTCTTTTCCTCAACTATTTTTATAGCAGGTTGATATAACATAATTCAAAAGGGCAACAGTTTGTGGCTGTTTGAATAGTTTCAGAGGTTTAAAATGCTAGTAGTAGTCCTAGAGGAAACTGATTAGTTGGTAGGGCTCAGGTGAGGTGGTCAGGGTGCATGACAAATGTCCTTTGTCACATAGCCATTGCTGCTATGGGTGGGTGCGTTTGTACAGAAACACTTTCAAAGCCATGTTCGAATACTAATCACTATAAACACCTCTATTGGGTAGGAAATTAATTAGTTTTTCCCAATCACACAAAAGGGAAAACTAAACTAAATGTAAGTGACATGCCCAAATGCCCAACAACACGCAATGAGAGAGTTGCAAAACTATTGAGAGAACTCAGGAGTTCCTGTTTCCCAACCCTAGACTCAGGCCACTAGCCCATGCCGCCACTCTAATATGTCGGCTTATCTGAGAAGGAAAATGGGGGGTGGCGAGTGAAAAATTATGAAAGCCTGGTAAGTCAAACATGAAAAGTTTCTTGCATGGCATCTACATATTCTGCTAGTCTGTGATAATTAGAGAGATGAGATGGCTGAGCTCACCTCTTTAATTGGACCAGCCTCTGTTGGTGAAAGACTATCTTTCGAGCTTACACAGAGCTCTTCTTCAAGCTTGTCTGTCTCACCAACAAAAGCTGGTTCAATAAAAAAAAAGTTACCTCACCCACCTTGTCTTTCTAATATTTTGGGATGAACACAGCTACAACAACTCTGTATGGTCTATGGTAATGACATTCACAAACCTAGGGAACAGCATGCAAATATCCAGTGGCTTGCAATTCACCATCTGAAATTAGTAGCTGTTCTTTTTGCTTGCCTGCTTGAGGCCAGAATTTGAGAACAATCTCTGAACTCTTAAGTTTTTAATAGAATGGTAATTTAGGCTCAAATACTAGCTCCAATCCACCCACAGAATGTGATTTATGTCAATGAAAATTCCTTACAATCAAGGCCAGTATAGTAAGTGAAACTTGGCCTTAGGGGAAGTGGGGAAAAACAGGAGTAAGTCACAACATTCTCAAAAACAAGACAGTTACAGTAACCTTGGAAGAGATATGCATTCCACCCTTTTCACCAAAACAGCAATGTCACAATGGCATTTTGCTAGAGGAAATGCAGGAAGAAGGTATGAAGAAACAAGAGGGCAACACTTTATACCTAGATGCCCTGAGATACCAATTATAGCAAATGATCAAAAAAATCAATGGCAAAATAGAAAAAAAGATAGTAAAAGGAGGAGGAAAAGAGTCAAGAAATAGAGCCTAATAACTTAGGGTCAAACTGTGTCACAAATACAGTTTATATTTGCCTACAGATCATCAACAGTCCATAACTACATCAGCATTTTCTACAAAATATAGTTGGTTTGTTTTTGAAGCACAGAACTTTTAGTATTCTGAATGAAATTATACGCAAACACTCAAGATCAACTGACCGAAGTAAACAACTTTTAGTTAGGGACAGCACTCTTTGTAGCTTTCCACTGTCAAACGGTACATTGACAATGCTGCACATACGCAAAACCATTTTACATACTGTCTGAAAAACACTTCCATACCAACGCAAAGAGGTATTGGTAAGGATAGTTTGACAGACAAAATCTGACTATCCTTGAGTTATTTTTCAGTTTTTAATAGTTAGGTGTCTTTATGATGGTTTGCTTTGGTGATGGAATGCTCCATACATATCTCCACTATGCCAGCACAAGCGTATAGTGAGAAGACACCTCTCCAATGTTTATATTTAGCTGATCCCAGGGGAGAGGATGTCTCTAAGCTTTTTTACGCACTCTTATTTCTGATCTCCAGACTGCAAATGCATCCGTTTCGGAGCACTCCCAATTGATTTAAGAAACACAGTTAATGTCCCAGTATTGCTCATAAACCAGTGTCTCCCACATAAGAGAGTAATATACAATTAATTATATCTGTCTGAATGTTTAACCATTTTTTGATAATTTAAGGGGAGATGGGCAGGTCAAAGTTTTTAGGTACCATGATCCAAAGTTTACTCAAAGGAATCGAACGATTCACACTGAATTTTAAAAAGCCTGATCCAAAGTCCATTAAACCTGATTTTTTTCAAGACTATATATTCATATTTCCTAAAACCAAAAAACTGATTGTTTTCAATCTTTGCAACCCAAACGTTGCAGCACCGGGCTAGAGCAAGAGATAATAAAAGTAAAATCTGCTATAAAACAAAACTAAAAGCAGACATCTCTTTTCCCAAGCTGAAAGAAATGCAAACACTAAACAAAGATCATAAGGCAATTTAGGGTTTTGCAATTCTTTGTTTTAATAATTCCAACTGTTATTGCTGAGGACTTTTATTTTAAATATGATTTGTTTTACATGACATCATCCCTTTAAATCACTGTTACTCAGGGACACTGAATTTGCTACATTATTTAGTTGAAGGAAGTATTTATATACAGTTTTCCACCAACATGTTAATGTTGAATATAAAGATAGATTCCTATTTAAGTCTGCTTTACTTTACATTGTATTGTTGCATCATATGCACATATGTGGACAAGTTGCAACAAGACAATATGCCAAAATGTAAATTAAATATTTTGTCTCCAGACAATTTACTTGCTTTCTATCAGTATCAAATAAAAAAATAAAGCTAGTGAACCAAAGTGGAGCGAATCCTGAATTATCTGCAGTCTCCATGAGCCAGCAGTGCAAGAGCTCGCATGCTTTTACAGTAGGTATGTACAAGATAGCTTTGCAAACATATTACTAGAATGGTTTGCAACCAGTGAAGATAATTTTGATTATTTCCACTCCAAAAATTCCTATATCAGAGCCACATCATTGAAGACAATCTAACCATAGGAAAAATAGTGATGGAAAAACAGTCTTCGCTAATATTATATATCAACTAGATATACATCTAGTGTCTAAATGAACTAAGGGCCCTGCTTCTGAAAGACTCCAGTATTCGGTGAACGGGAAGTAAATACTTTAAAAAAATAATCTGACTTCCTTTCCCCCCACCATGATCAGTATCACTGATTTATAAACAGAATTTCTGTCTGAATTCTCAACTGCAGCACAACAAAATACATTTGAAAAATTTAAAGGAGCAATACATCTGTTGTTCCCACCTCAACATCACTGGGCATAATACAGTAAAGAAAAATAAATTTTCCTTCAAGACAATTTAAATCAATGACAAAAGAACAATGTAAAGCAGCCTCAAGGTAAGCAGCAGTTCAGTGTTTAGCAATGGGTAATATAAGATTTCATCCTTGTTAGATGTATTTTGATTAGTTCTAATAAATGACTGATTTTCTTTTGGTTGTTTGTAATGACAACACATCATTTAAGGAGCTTTATTCTTTTTTTCCCTCCACTCATACAGTACAGTAAATAGACGGTCTAATTTTATGAATTAGCATTTAAAACTAGTGTAAGTTATGCAACAAGCATTCAAATTCAGTAGTATTTTTGACAGCAGTAAGTAAAGAGCCTTTTAATAACTTCAGCACATGCTTGAAAAAAGTAGTTACATCAAAACAGTTCAAAGACTGAAGACAAAAACCAGTAAAAATCCAGTTTGGTATGAGACAATTCTAGTGCACCTAGGGCAGTGTAAACAGCCTTTCACATTTTCCCCAAGGGAAAATACTGAAAGACTATATCTGAAATGAATCAAGCATATTTAAAAAGATCACAAATTGGTCAAATGAAAGTGTATTTTTGGCAGATTCACTTCAGATACTACTTGCTACAGTCTATAGAAATCTCTAATCTCACATCAGTGTTGCCTATAGTGCTTCAATATTTATTACATGTTATGATAAGTACCTGTGAAAGGGGACATTCCTTGGCCAATGAACTCTGGTTCATATCCTTCAGTAAGTCCTTGAGAGCATTTCTTACTGTTGTGTGAGACCACTGTTCAGGAGGCAAGTCTTCTAGTTTAGGGCAACTATTTGAGACATAGATTAGAAAAGGGATTATTACAAGATTGCATCCTGCTGCAGAACATTCCTTTAAGACAGACAGATTTCATTTTGCGCATCAAGCAGATGCATCTGGAGATTGCTCTCGGTCTCCTGATTGTTCCGATTAGTTAATTACTTTATACAACACATCTGCTGTATTGATGCATGAATTATACATCAGCTGCATGTGGCGACTATTTTTTCATGTTACTTCTACCTTCCTGCTCTGATGCGCTTGGTAAAACAATTTAAGGTGTAATGCTTTCTCACAACTGATCGTGAAAAGCATTAATATATTAACCAACCATTTTTTTCTTTTTTTGTTACTGTGAAATTTAAGAACCTAGACAGCAACAATAAGTGTGAGCAAGTCATTCTTTTACAAAATGCACACAGATGGTACTGTTCACGATATGCAAAAATATTTTTCTCTTAAGTAAACTTTATGTAAAATGCCTTCTTGTAATGCATCATTTAATTGACTAAAATGCAATATATTTTTAATGAGATATCCAGAGAAAAATCTATGTATCAGAGCTATACGCATGAAAGTTTTCTACAACAGCATGTTGTAACTTAAAATTATAATAACCAAAAAGGAATGTAGATAAGCTTCTGAACTTTGAGCACACAGCACAGTGGGAATCAAATACAGGCTATATTACTAATCCTAACAGTGGACAAATAGCAGTCCATGTCCTAGGACTGGTATGTGTGACTCACCTGTGTAACTGGATTTTCAGTGTGACCACATGATACACATCTTGCAGCATGTCTGCTACTGTAGCATCAGGGGCATCTGTCACATAGGAGAGTGGAACTGGATTCCACTTCCCAACCTGGATTAGCCCTGTGCCAGACAGAGAAATTATATTATTTAATAAATGTATCTTACAAGGCTTTGAAAAATACCTGTGATTTTAAGCAGTGCCACTGTCCTTGATTCCATGCTCATTTATTTGAAGACAAGCACAAAAAAACTGCAAGTTAGCTGTCCATGCTATGAAATTATATAAATGCATTACAGTAAAGGATCAAAAATACTATCCGAATATACTTTTTCCTTAAGTTTCTGAGAGTTCAATAAGACAATCATTCATACGCATTATATGGGATTTTATAATGCAAGATCTCAGTACTGAAAAAATACTTCACAATCCACAAAACCCATCAGTAACAGAATAAAAGAAACAGAGCTAGATATTTAGTCATAAACGCAAGTTGACTCTCAACAGTCCATCTGCTCAAATATGCTTTACACTTCCTTGTGGATCCTCAGTGGAGCAGATTATTAAGGTCAATAAGCATACTAATGATTCAGTTGAAGTCATTTTTTTTAAATTATAATCTACCTCAACATTCCACGAGCAAAGCATATGTTAACTAAATAAAAATACATTAAGCAAAAATTTAAAAGAAACAATCTACAAGGAGTAAAACATAATAATTGCACTGCATTCCAGAAAAAAATTCTACATTTCCCCCCATAAAATAAACAGTACAGTTTAGCAATCATATTTACCTTTTGCTTGGGCAGCAGAGCTATGAGAATATCCAAGTGATAGCAATGCCATTTCAATCAGTTGGTTGAATAGCATGTCCTTCCTTACCAACACAAATTCCGCATGCTCCTCCTTACAGTCATACTCAATGGAATTTTCATAATGTTCCACTACACAAAAAACTGGAAGCATAGTTCCTATTAAAAAAAGTAAAATATATAGTATTAACTGGTGTTATTGTAGGGATAAGGAAGAAATCTACAGCATTACATGGCTAAAAGCCCTATAAACTTGCAGATGAATATCTAGGGGTATCCTGTTTGTGAAAAACATCACTCCCTCCCCCCCCAAAAAGAGTTATTTAAAATAAATATTTCCCTAAAAGGTCTGAATGCAAATATATCCCTACTACTACTACATCTGATACAGAAGAGAGAATTACCTGCCTGCAGAAATAAATAATAAGGCTGACAGGAGAGAAATAAGTTGGTTGTCTCTGTCCTGTCTGATTTGTTGTGAGTAGCATGCAGCGTGAGAACCTAAATACATACTGCAGATGTCTTCAGAGTAAGCCATTTTAATGGCATCTACATAATTTTGTTCATTAACGTTAAAACTTTCCTAATTGTGCCCAAAATATTCATTTACCTTTGATTTAAAAATTTCACCTTTGTCTTTTGTTAAATCTCCATACTAACAAACTGTACAAGGAAACAAAGCAAAACTTACTGCTAACTGATGCTGCATGCATTGTCTGGATGTAACCAGATCACTACTAAACTGCAATTCCAAGACTTGTATCTTTAAGAAACAGTAATAATTTTAATCCAGTTTTAAATTTACCTGCCATTGACACATTTTTTGGCATATGTATTTTGCTACTTCACACCATATATTTCTAGTCTTACTGTAGATATTATTTGTATGCCCAAAAGTCATTTTCTTGGTTTTGTTACATATATATATTTTTGTATTTGAAGACAAAATGTTTCCCCACACCTTTTGCTTAATTCAGTGCAATCTACTAGACCATGACCAGAAGATTAACAGAGAGCCCAGCAACACTTACTGCTGGGAAGAAGCATTCTTCTGGAAGTCAGAATTGTGGATTTCTTTAAAACTGTATTTATTTTATACAAAATAGCAGGGTACTACAAAAAGACCTTGGAACTGCAGCCCCAATCCTGTTCTTAGTGAAGTCAATAGCAAAACTCCCATTGGCTTGAGACGTGCAGAATCAGGCTCCTTAATGACAGGAAGCAAAAGGGTTAAAAAGCAGATGCACAAGAACTGGCTTATGGCAGATTGCCAGAGGGGTATCATTTTTAGTATAAATGATGACCAGGGTTACTTTAACAGGGCACCCAGGATCTCCAATTAGTCCTGCAATGTTAATGCCTCTGTGAGCACTGCCCTCTAGACTTATAGGGTATGTCTACACTGCAATTAAACATCCACGGCTGGCCCATGTCAGCTGGCTTTCTAACCTGCAAAGGTGCAGAAAAGATACTATAGTTGAAAAAATAAATGTATTGCTGATGATATATGCTTTAAAACCCCTTTGTTCATTTGTACTCCTGCCTGTAACAAGAGATTATAATAAGAGATACCTTTTAAGCATATTTTATATATATATATATATATATATATATATATATATATTAATTAATTACACACACACACACACACACACACACACACACACACACACACAATATCTGCAATAAGCTGTTCACCAGAGAGTCAGTCTCTGGGAAACAAATCCCTTCAGGCTCATTTGGAAAAGCTCACAAACTCAGTCCGGTTTGCCCAATAGGCTCAGCATGAAAGACAAGACTAAATGCTTGCCAATATTTATGTAGTTGGGGGAGAGGACACAGAGTTGGGGAAGGGATTCTGTTCTTGTTTTTAAAATCACAGAATAAGACAAGACAGGAAGACCAGAGCAAAAACAGCATATGTAAACTGGCAATTTCTTCACTGGATTTAATTGAGCTATGGTTAGATTTCCAAAAACAAAAACACCCCACACAAACTTCACTTGGGAGTGGGTTTTTCCCAGCTCTCACAGTTCAAGTTTGACTTGACAGAAAGTTTCACTGTTAAATATATCTGAAGGCAAAAATCTACATCAAGCTTTATTTTCATGTGAAATATATAACTCTGTTTCAAAAATTACAAAGGCAGGGAGTGAAATACTGCATTCCGTTTCTTAATTTCTCCTCTTCCCCTGCCTCCAGTAGGCTACAAAAATTAGACTATTACAACACACACAGATATTTCATTTTATGTACAAATGTCCCATAAGTTACAGCACTCCTAAAAAGGTACTACTTGAAACAAAACAGTAGGACCTCTTGACCAGATTTTGATGCAAGTTGTAGATATCAAAGGTGTATCCTGGTAGAGTGACACAGGTACCATCTGACTACAAATCAAGCTGCTAAACCTTCTAGCAACTGTCACTTGTGTCCTTCTGCTAATGTGAAAAACATTATGCAGAAGAGCACAATCTTAGCTGGCTGATCACTCTTGCTAGTATTTGGCAAGAAATTCAAGTTCAGCAACTTCATAACCTTCTAGTATTAAAGGGGAGAGCACTGGTCAGTGCTCGGTGCTAAAAATACAACATGATTTAAACCTGAAGGCAGTGTTAGAGCTTTTGCTGAAGGTTTATGAGCCTGTGTAAACAGCACGTCTGCCATAAGGAGCAGTGAAGTCTGTAGAATCCTTGTCTAAAACTGTCCTGGCATTAAAGTTTGCTGTGCAAATATCACATAATACCAGAGACAGCTGAAATCTCCTATTTAGGAATTTATGGAACTTATATGTTTGCAGGCGTCAGAAAGTCCTTTTTATATAGCCCCAGTGCTTCACAGTACAATATTAATGCACTCTGTTTGAAAAGCCATAATAAATTATATTTTTAATGCTCTTACCCTGGCTTTCTTAAGATGCATACATTCTTGGCAAACAATCAATAAATAGGGTAATCATGAGCAGAGGCCAAAGAATTTGCTGAAGTGCTGTTTTTCCATTTTTAATAGATAAAGATCTAACAATACGGACTGCTGTGTCTGTTCATTTCAGGATCAATATATTCTTTGTTTTCGCCAAACCGAGGAAAAAATAAATGATTGTATGATAAATGTTATGCATCAGACACAATGAAATCCCACTGCCTTCTAACTTTATGTGTTTAATGGTCTTGGCTGCATTTTACACTTTGCTTAGCAAATGCAAGAAAAATCTGAATTATAAACATATAGCTATTATACTGAGAAAAAGTAGAAGTCATTTTAAAACAAATGCCAAACACATACAGCATGTTTTGATTTAAATTAGCAAGTCTATATTATACAGTCAAAAAGACATTTTGATATACAAGATTAATATATTATGGTGCATTCTGAAGTATTTTAATACAAACAAAAGCCACACACACACACACCAATCAATGATTCTAAATGTGCCTTTTCCTTGTGAGAATGTCTAATTACAGCAAACCAACCACTGAAAAATATGATGCCCAAGATGTTCATTGTTCAATAATGAATTGTACTTAAGAAAATAAACTGTAAAGATTGACATCATAAATGACTTTTCCAGTGTGTTACCTAAAGATTTAAACTCTCTTCTTTAAACAACTTGCAACTGTTAATGAAATACTGTTGACTTTTCCAAGCTTGAACTATCACTAAGAGCAAAGGCAAGAATTAGGTTTTTAGGATTTGGTGTATCTTTTATATATTTCAGTGCTGCTTACCAAAACAAACTCACCAGAGAGTGAGTTTATTACATTAACTGTCTTTCCGTGGAAGAATCTGGTCTAATGAGGACAACTAAACTTAAGACAGTCTTTACCTTAACAAAAATAAGACTCCACCCTGGAAAGCAAGATGCTCCACCCAAACATGAAGCTCTTATTTCCCAAATGTGATTTATATCAGAACTGGGAATAAAATATTTTTAGAATGGTGATTCAGTACTGAAATATAAATGAAGTCTGTGAAAAGTATGTTTCCCCACCTAAATGGCAATGCATATATTAATATAATTAATATTTCTCCAATGCAGATTAAAAGTGTTACCTTTTCTAATATTTGTTTTCATCAGGTGTCCAGAGTGTTTTAAAGGCACTCCTTGCATTTTAGTTCCTGTACTTCCAAGTCTTCCTCTTCCTAATGGGCTCCCATTCTGTTCCAAGCGCGCAATTTTGGCTGGTGGACCCTTCGGATCGCTTACATTGTTAGACATTTCTGAATGTTCTTTCCCCTGAGTTGCCTCGTTCAAATGATCCATACTCAGTCCCGCCTCTAAAGATCACCTGCCATGATTTAAAAAATATATATATATGTTGTACACGTGTGCGTATGTGTATGTAGACAGTTAACACATGTACAGAGATACATATGTATTGTAAGCTCGCAATTAAGAAGTAAATGAATATTTTAAAATAAGATAATACATTTATCCGCAGAAAATGTTCCCATTCTCCAAAGATTGAATGATTTGGTAAAAAAAATATTTAATGCCATCTACAGAACACTAAAACAACTATGTGCAGCCTAGGTAGTCATATTCTATCTTGAATTCTTAAGAATGAGAATTAAATAGGTGAAGGGGATTACTAAATTATATGCTTCAATCTATCCATTGCTACAAATCTCACAAGTGTTTGTTGTAAATCATGAATGCTTTTATTTAAATAAATAAATAAAAAAGAAAAACCAACACTATAAAAGTGCTTTCTCTCTGCTAGTAAATAAATGCAAGTACAACAATGAAGAGAAGATTGAAACTTTAGGTAACCATGCAACAGATTTATTAGCAACATGAAATATTGTGCATTTGCATCTTTTTCCTAGAAATATGAACAACCTCAATTGCCTTGTAATTTTTGATCAGGTGGGGTTTTGTTTGTTTTTGCATTCTTCCAAGCTGTTTTACATTACAAATTATCAACTTTTGAAAACTTAAAATATGTAGATGAATATTTTAAGATGTAATCAAGTTTTAAATGTTAGGTCAAATATGGAATCTTTTAAAAGTCAAAATAAACTGAAAGAAGGTGGAAACATCTCTCAAATATCACAAGGGTCTCATGTTGAAAAACTACAATTCCTATGGAACTTCAGAAACCCTCCAACACAGAGACACCCCTGCTAGTGTAAAATTGTGTGTTGATACAGGTACCTGAAGTCAAAAAATGGAAGTAATTTCAACAATATCAAATTAAGAAAATGGGTATTTTAGCATGTTGTATTTCCTTTCTAAAAACTTGTTTTTTAAAACAAACACATTCCAGCTAAATGACTGGATCATTAAAATCCCTAGACTAAAACACAGAGTAAGTTTGTGACTTTAGTTATATAGATACACACACACGCCCCGAAACCTATTTTATCAACTATAAAACAATCAGTTACTGAAAATAGATACTTATCTGGTAGTGATTTTATTCTGGATTACTATCCTAGTTATATTAGGGGTCTTCTACCTTTTTCTGACTGAGAAAGGTATAGTCACACTGTCAATTACATTATGTATATAATATAATCACAAAGAACAGGTGACTAGACATTCATTTTATGAACTAGTATTTACATTACTGAGTACAAACACTAATACTAGGGGAGTCATATTTAGAAAGACTTGCATGAATCTGATAATTGCTACTTTCTTTCAGTTGCCTAGTAATTCAACGCATTTTGTACATTTTTCATTGCAAAGCTATTTAGGTCTGGATTTCTTGGGAGACACCATATATATATTCCAATGATAATTCTGTAAACAATTCTATCCTGTTTGAACACAGGCTGCTTTGTCCTACATAGCCAAGAAAAGAATGTGTGTTAATCTGGATGTTTACTAGCAACCTTAAGAATGCTGACTGAATAACTGTAAAGTTTAGAAAATAACGGTTATTTATCCTTAAGCTGTAGAGTGACATGCTGAGAACCGAAGGTTTACCATTGATCATGGCCCCATCTGTTTTTGGTTATGAGTCTCATTAAACAATAAATGTGCCTATTTTAACCACTTTTTTTTTTAAAATCAAGATTACTCTATCATTACATTAACTGCAGTCTAACCAAAAACTGCAGACTCAAATCATTGACATCTACCAATGTTTCCTTACAATGCTGCTTTATTATAAAGCTGCTATTCTGAAACTAGTCTTTCTTGAGAATAAGAGGATTCACTTAAAAAAAAAAAAAAAAAAAAAAAAAAAAAAAAAAAAAAAAAAAAAAAAGCTTTACACAAGAAAATCCCTGTCACTTCTGGCAACCTAAAAAGTACACTACAACTCCAAGTTTCTTGCTACAAAAAGTATCCAGTCATCATGAATAGAATAATACATCATATACAATGAATAAAAATGACAGATCATAATTTAGTTAGTGTATTGACTGCTACCAAAACACCAAATAGGTCATTCTAATTTGGCCTTAGAATACCCACCCATAGGCATCCTTTAACCACTTAGTCATCTTGTAAAAAGCTTTACATTACAAAGCAAAATTACATGCACATAAAACACCTAATTTACTCATTTCAACTCCATGCCCAAGGCTAAAGTTCACTGAAACCTCAGTTTGGAATAGTGATGAGCAACAATCAGCATGGCCTGCCCAGAATGACAGCACTATGGAGTTACTATTATCTCTACAGATGGCAGGCAGAGAGTTTATTCAGGTTTCATATTTAGACCTCCTTTACACTAGCTACAAGTTTCCATCCTAGACATTATATAAGGTCACAATTTCAACATACAGTTTCAAAAAGATCACACACACGGACACACATCAACTAATTTCTGAATGAATTCATTGTAATAGTCCCTATTCCTGAAATAAGGGGAAAACTCCTCATGAATTAGCCCCCTCCCCTTTTCATCTGCCCTCCTTTTTCTCTCCCCAATAAAACCCCATAATCACATTTAAAACAGGCTCTGCTCTTATCCATTCCATATGGCTGTCACAATCCAGGCCAAGCTTTCACTGTGACCTTTTAAAGAGACAAAGAAGCAAAGTAGTATCTAGAAACAGAAACACTGCAGTTTTCTGAGTGAAATTAGCAAAACCGACCCGAAACTCACCACTTCAAAACTTGACAGCATATAAATAACAAAAACAAAGGAGGTTTCCTTTGCAGCCAGAGCTCTTGAAGAGGAAGAAGTTCAAGACTGATGTTGGCTAGGTCCTTAACAAAAAAAAAAAAAAAAAAAAAAAAACAACCACTATACACCCGCCTCCCCCCAAAAAGCCACCAGCCCTGAAGGCTACTTCCCCTGAAATGCTATTATTTTCCTTTTTTTTGTTGTTGTTATTTTCCTCTATGCAGGGGAGGGGCAAAAATAAATGGCGAGAAGCACAGTAGCCATGAGCAAAACGGCAGTGGGCAAAAATATTAAATATCTTTTAGGAACGCAGTTTTCAAGGTTTGGAAAGGGAAGAAGGAAGTGAAGCTCAAAATTGAACAGATAAGTGTAATGCTAAAAATAAATTTAAAAAAATGAAAGTAGTAGATTTAAATGGAGGGGGTGACTTGAGTCTAGCTATTCTTTCAAAAATAACATCAATGCGGACAAGAGCAAGTGGGGGGCGGGAAGGGGGAGAGGAAGCTTTTCTATCCAGGGTGAAAAGCAGAAAGTCTACTTCTAGGCTGTCACTTACACTATTATTCTCCAACAAGCATACAGAAGAACAGCGCGCACACAAAAATCAATCTGCTCCTCTCCCCCAAAACCACTAACAGCCCCCAAACTTTCTGCATGAATCTGTAGTAGGGGTGGGGGGGTGAGTGTAGAGAAAACAGCAGGAAAAGGCACCAAAATGCCACTTTTAATTTCGCCTTCCCGGTCCGTTAAAAGAAAACACACAACAAAATAGAGAGAGGGGACCTGTCTCTTCTCATTTACCCGGGGCTGTTGTGTGTGTGAGAGAGAGAGAGAGAGGAGGAGGAAGGAAACGCACACACAAGACACCACCACCACCAAAGTAGAGAGATTTCACTCCCACCGAGTCCACCAAGAGGTGTGTATGATTATTTCAAAATAAAAAAAAATGAACAAAAAAGAGTGATAAAAAACAACAACAACAACCCCAGACAACTCCACGGAGAGTTACTGCAAATGGCAAAGGAAAAATTGGAAAAACAAAAGGTTGCAAAGAATAATAATAATAAAAAAAAAATCCTGGCTTTGATGCTTGTTTCCCCCTGGCTGGCTGGCTATTTATTTAGGCCGGTTTGGTGGCTGTGGCTGGATGTTACATGGATATGTTTGTGTGTGTGTGTGTGTCTGTCTCCCCGGACGGAGCTGCTTCGCTTTGCTCTCCCCCCCACCCTCTCTGTGTTTCTGTCCCCATTAAATTATTAGTTGACTCATCACTCCTCCTCCTCCTCCTGCTGCTGCCGCCGCCGTCCCCTGCTCAGAGCCTCCTCTCCTCCAGCGCTTTCTGCTGCTGCCGCCGCGGCGGCGGCTTCTTCTTCCTCCTCCTCATTTTAATACAACAACAACCGAGGCCAGCCGGCTTTTTGCAGCCCGAGACTAGGAGGGACGCAGCCTCCCTGCTGCTGCCCGGAGCCCTTCCCCGGCGGCCCCGGATCATCCGACGCGTCCTGGGAGAGAGAGAGAGAGAAAGTGGCAGAGGAGGAGGAGGCGGCGGCGGGAGAGGAGGAGGAGAGGAGGGGGTGAGCGGAGGAGGGCAGCGAGCAGGGGTGGAAATGGGAACCGGAGCGAGAAGCGGGATGGAGGGGGGTTGGAAACCAGAGACCCAAAGAGGTGAGTGGGGGAGAGGGTTGGGGAGGGGAAGATGGGGGGGTGGAAGGGGTGCGATTTCCGGCACAGGGCGCGCAGGAATTTGTAATCAGCTTGATTAGGGTGAGGCGGCTCTGCATTGATTACACACAATAGCCAGAATAAGAGGGGGCCGCGCGCGGCGCAGCGCAGGCAGAGCGGAGCGGGCGCGCCTGCCTGCGAGCCCCCTTCGTTACGCAGCAGGAAGGACGCGGCGCGGGGGGCCCAACCAGATGGGGGTCGGGGGGGGCTGAACAATATCCAGGCAGCCTGCCAAGATGTGCGTAATAATCAACACCCCCTCCCCCTCTGCTGCCCTGGTGCCAAGTAGCCAACACACGGCGAGGGACGGGACCCGAGGGGATTGCGCACTGGAACCACAGGGAGAGGGGACGGGGTATTGCAGGTGACGCTGCTCCGGCTGCCAAGCCTGACAGCCACAGGGGCACCCGCCCGTGAGCAGAGGCTTCGCAAAGGAAAGTGTGTAGGGGCTGGAGCGATGAGCAGACCAAGGGGCGGTAAAGCGGCAGCGTGGAGAGCTGCAGCCTGGAAAGCAGGTGCACGGTGCACATAAGGAGCAGGCAGATTACAAATCAGGATGGACAACACGGAGTCCAGAGTGGGTGAACCCTTAGAGGCAGAAGAAAAAAAAATCCTATTTCCCTGCTACCTCGAGTGAAAGAGCTTTTGTTCCTAAAAAGAGCCATGGAACAAATTGTAAATAATAACGAAAGTTATTGGCTATATAGTTATGAGTGCACTCAAGTTACCAGGAGAGTAAATGGGAATGCTCTGTCTCTGACTTGTAATATTGCTTCACTTTACTCAAGGTTTTCCCAACCCCTGGAAAAGTGAACAAGAAATATGCTCCTCCAAGAAGTAGTTGCAGTTGGAAGCATACCACAGAAGAAACAGAACTCACCTAACCAAGAGACCTAACAATGCAAATGGAAAGAAAGATTCTCTCTTTTATATTATGCCAGATGAAAGAGATGGACAAGGCACACTTTAAAAGACCACAGTACAGAGGCAGGAGGTGGGACTAAATACCTATTCAAGTTGTACATGGAACCATAGTCACTTGCATGATCTACTGTAAAGTTTTACAGCAAGGATGATGGTGATGGACATATGTGTAACAAAATAAGAGACAGACATAATTAAACAACCCCATATCACAGATATTATAAAATCACAATATACTGGAAATAGTATAACCCTGATCAAAAAGCAATGCGATACAGTTGTAGCAATCTACAGTTTATAAAATAGGGTCCAAAGCCCACCCAGTGAAATGCAAAGAATAACAAACTACTGAAACTGGTAAAGTATTCACAAAATAAATGGGTATATGTAAAAATAAATAGATATTTTTTCCCATGATGCATTGGGGGAAATACCATACTAACTAGATAGACTTGAAAGCAACAAGTTTGCACAAGCTATGAGAGAACAGGAAAATTAAACTCATTTATTGATAAAGTGCACAAGCGTAGATATACTGTATATGAAAGAAAAGCTATATTAGAAGCAGAAGAAAGTTTTAATTGATGCATGAAAATATGTACCCAATTGGAGAAACAGTACTTCAGGGTAACAACTCGGGAAAAAAATTGTATTAAAAGAGGCAGAGAAACTGTAATAAACTTAGAAGAGTTATTTTTTAAATGTAGGCAACAGGGAGCTAATATTAATCATAACATACAAAATGCAAACTACAACAATATAATTTCTGAACAAAGAAAATACAAATCAATAAATGCCTTGAAGAGTAAAGGTATCACCACATATACATTACTATAACAAAAGCAGAGCATCAAAAGTAGGCAAAGAAACACAAGCTGACATCTACTGAAATAAGCACAAGCAACATACAGGGCACACAGGAAAAGAAAATGGTAATAGGGTGAAATACATAAAATATTTATCATATTCAGCAATGCACAAAATAGATTATAATCACAGAAGCAAAGAAATGCAATGCTTGAAAATGAATATATTATATAATATTCAAAGATGTGAAAGTGGAATACTTGTGAAACACAGTTGTACACGTGTTTCATAAGGTTATTAAAATTATTACTGAAAGTGCATACTGGAAAAAAAAGGAAAATAAGAATCATTCTTTACAAAGAAAAAAGAAAATGTAGATGACACTTTCTATAACAGATGATCAAGGGATAACTATCTTGCAGGTTGTTTATTTAGAAACTGATCTTTTCCCACCAGATAGTTTGAATTTTATTTAGTCATTGAAAGATGGAATCTTTACCCAAAACATTCTATCACTTGAAAAATCTGATTTAAATAATTGAACCTAAACTTTGTGGAAATAGTGGAGAACGACTACACTGGATCAGTTCTCACCTTTTCAGAATAGCCTTTGTAGCACTAAAGTTTAAAAGATGAAAAAAGACTGACCACTGGAGTACACTAAAGAAAAGAGGAAGATGCTGAAAAATGAGGTAACTTCAAGTGACAGCACATGTATCTGTTGCTTGCAATATGATCAAGAATAAGGAAAGTGCAGAACTTAGGGAAAGAAAGGTGCAGTTTAATAAATAGCTATTAAAAATCCTTGGAACAAGGATTATGGCTATAAACACCTTGTAAATTGATCACCAGATAAGATTAAAAAAAAAAAATTAAGACAAAATCTGTGTTTTTAAAATGCATTTGCCTCAGTATTACAATACATATGTGAAAAAGAACTTAAAATACACAAGTTAAAAAAACAGAAAATGATTAATCTTAAAGTAGCAAGAGTAAACTAAAAGATTGGGGAGATAAAAATCTGATAATATTTGAGCACAGAGGCCTAAACGATATTGTTATGGACACTAACCAAACACTGACAAATACTCTGTTAATTATATGATCATGCATATGCCTCTTGGACTTGAGATAAATGGTTATGAAAAATAACTGCTGTGAAATTGAATATATGTATATAAACCCTTTAAACTCCATACCGCACTAATAAACTTGATTACTGTATATCACCTACCCCTGTTAACACACTCATTGCAGGCTCTGAACATTGACTAGTGTAAAACTTTGCTTAGACTGGAAAGCAAAAATTGAGACAGTTATTCCTATATTTGCATATATGAATAATTAAACTTCTCTTAATAATAGCAAACTCAGTTGAAATTTTATTTCACTGGTTTATGATACTGATATCAAATTTTTGTAGTGAAAGGCAAAAAATGCTAACATTTTGTAAAAATGTTTAATTGTAGACTGACCATTATGCCAATACATGCTCAAGTATATCAACTTTTTAATATTATAGTGTCCCACTGGAAGATGTTATTTTTATTTATTAAAAGGAAAGAGATACATAGATAAAGAAACAGAAGAAACAGATAAATAAAGAAACAAAGAAACAGATAAATACCCTGGAATGTATGCAGTCAGTAGTTTAAATATCTGATAACTGCACTTTTCAAATTAGTTGTATGTCAAGTGAAGCCAAATACTTATATTAAAGCTGCCTCATTATAGTAATCAGAAATAAATATTTTGAATTGGAATGTGTCTTCCCAAAACTGTATATGGACACAAAGAAAGTTTGTATCCAGTTTTTGAACTCTGGGATGAGGTGACTCAATAGATCAGTCAGTACCTGGGTTACAGAATGAATGCCTTTAGGGTGGAGTGTTACCACAGTGCTTTCTAAGGACTCTATTCTGATCTTCTCTTGTTCAAAGTAAGTTGGTATATCTCTGGACATTGTGGGTCAAAAATCATGAAGTTGGTAGGATGATTTGTGTATAAAGCAAACAGGACATGACCTGGAAGCATCACAAAACTGGCACGAGAGACTGCACTTTTAGTTTCATCAGATTTTTGTCCAGATCTGGCTGTGGTTGGATTTTCCACATTTGCATTTCTGACAACTATGAGGCTACTAGTGTGACTCAAGTAATGGCCTGTGCTGGAGGTGGTGCAGAGAGGTTGCACTGCAGCAGGCACCTGTAGGGAAATTCTGGCTGGTTCCCAGAGTGTTACATCAGAATGGCAACTCCTCTGTTTCAAGAGGTGAAGTGTGCACTCTTCCATGCCTGGCCAGTTCTGCTGCTCAGTGTGGTAAGAGAGAATACTAAGTCCTGGCTTTCAGGAAGCTAGCATCCATGGGCACTAGAAGGGAGCAGTGGCTCCCCTCTTGCAGGAGCTTGTACTTAATGTTGCTAAGAGGTAAAGGGAGCATGGGGTGGGAAGGTCCTTGCACTTCCCTTCACACTGCCCCTTGTGCCCCAGTGCAGAGCTGGGCAACAGTCAAGTCTATGGTGTTTAACTCATACCTACAACCGTGCATATTTATACCTTTATTTAACATGTGCCCAAGTCTGTCAGTTTAATGCAGTATTGACTTTCTAGTTACTTCTCCACTGGATGTAACCCTGAATTGCGTATTAGAAATGAACAATCATTGTCTGAAACTACAGTCCAAACAGTTTACCTAACCTGACTGCCACAAGCAGAAATTACATATAATATGTATGGCCAATATAGGGTGACCAGATAGCAAGTGTGAAAAATTGGAATGGGGTGGGGGAGTAATAGGAGCCTATATAAGAAAAAGCCCCAAATATCAGGACTGTCCCTATAAAAATCGGGACATCTGGTCACCCTAGGGCAATACATATTGCAACATTTTGGAGTTAGAGTTGCAGCATTTAGTGACATCTCTCTCAATGAAGTGAAAAGTGCATACTAAGCTTGCATTTTGATCAAAATCTGTCCCAGTCTGGGCAGTGTGTCTGTCAAAAAGTAAGAGTGCTATGGGTTTCGTTTCACTGAGAAGCATATCACAAAATGCTGCTGTCCAGTCTCATTTTTATCTGTGTTCTTTCATATATGATGGTCTGAAAGTTACATAAAATGAATATTTAACTTACTTTAGTCTGTATCAAACTGTAGTTAATTGCTTATTAATTGAAGTAAATTATCCTTACCATATCTGTCGGAGGTGAAAAACCTACATATGATGCACTCATTAGTTTATTGACTCAGAATCCCCTAGAAAATATCAGGTATCTACACGATGTCCCACAGTGCTGTATTTTACATTTGGATAGCTCAGTTAGCTTACAGTGTAGAAAATCACATACAGGCAGACATCTTACTATTGACTACATATCTAAGGAGGCTGGTGTTTATTCCTGCAAATGTTTTCTGCAATATATTTCAATCAAGAAATGTTCTTTTGATAAAATGGATAAGATTATGCAAATACAGTGTATGGCTAAAACAGGCTACTTTTAGTCATACCACCACATCCCTTTCCATATATGCATTATATAGGTATTTTTCTGTTTTGATTGTGATAATTGTATGATTGGGGAAAACATATACTTTAGTTGATGTGACCTGGCTGGTCATTTAGGTTTGCCTCTAGCTGCCACAAATCGCATTGAGGCAAATTACTAGGAGAAAATTATGGTATAAGTACAACAAAAGTATTACATTTTGATGATAATAAGCGTGGGGATTGAATGGCTAAAGAGATTTATAATGATAATATAGAGTCTTTCACCTTTAGGTTGCCAATGCAAATCCAAGTTGGTTGCAATGTTAATGGACAGGTGTCCACATCACAAAAACCATCACAACAATTAGTACTAATTGACAGTCTTGTTGGCAATCTCAAGCAGAGAAATCTTGGACTGAATGGGCATGGAAACTAAACACCTTAAAAGTGGTGCCACTAGGAGGAGATGAGGCTCTTTGTTGGAGCAGTGTGGGAAAGCTTACCTTGCTGCTGCCTAATCTATACCCGTGGTGTAGACAAATAGAGTTCATTCCCTAAGTCAGTATAGCTACTTTCACAAACATTAATATATATAAGAATGTTTTTATGGCATTGAGTTTGCAAAGGGTGTACCACATTTTAAAAGACAGCCCCATAGATTATCTCTTCTCTCATTCATGATTGTACAGACCACCTTCCCACCAATTCACACTTATAACTTCCCTGTGGCAACTACAGTAATTGCTTACATGGAAATTTGTAATAAGACATTATTTAATATATTCTTTTAATGCAATTTAGAAGCTGGAAGCAAAGAGGAAAGCCAGCATCATATGATCTGCCAGATCTTCTACCTCGCAAGCAAGTGTTCCACAGGTCACCAGTAGCCCTCAGGTCACAGTTTGAAAGGCTCTGGTTTAAGGTAGCATTTTCAAAATACATCCGTGGGAAAGATACTTAATGTTGAAGGGTGCTCTCTGTTAAAACTCTGATTTTCCCAGACACTAGATAATTAGTAGGCAAGGGATGGGGGTGGAGGGTTGGAATTGCAAACAGTTATGTCAAAGGACTTGGCTAATAAGTAGTGTTATTTTAGGGACATGTTCAAGCGGCACCTGTATTCATTTTTGGAGCTTGTTGGGATGCTGAAAACATTGTACTGAATATTATAGAAGAGCTTAATATCACAGATGTAAGCGACTAACACCAAACAAAAAAATTCTCAGATCTTTTTATTTACTAAAGTCAGAGTTAAATTGATATTTCTAAACTATTTTGCAACACAGTCCAGTGTTTTTTCAGACAAACTACTGAATTTCCTTCTTGATCTTAAGTAACATTGAGCTAATAAAGAAAGAGGCTTCCAAGCAACACAGAAGTTTAATCCAACACTTTTGAGTAAGAATAAGATTTTCACACAGTCCAAGCAAAGCTGCATATTACAATGCAAAACAGCCCCTGCCACTGCAGTTATCACTACACAAGGACCATTCAAGTACTATTAGCAAGACTTTTGATACTTGCTCTGATGAGTTCCGACAGCAGAAATTTGTTATGCAGTAGCCTGTTTCATCAACAGGACAAAACAATCATTCTTTTTTCAGCTCTTATAGTACTAATAATTCACTTCCTCAAAAATCTGATAATTCTTGTGGGCTGGAAACAGGGAAGAGTTTAGGTCTAAGAAAATGGTTAGAACTGATTGATGACTTGAACTGTCAAACTTTCATTATGAAACCCAAAACCACATGCAGGTCCTGGTTTCAAGTTTCATTAACTCAAAACTCTGCCCAGGTTCTGCCACACTTTTTCTAAGGTTCAAAAAACTTAAGTGAAACGGTGCACCTAATTTTGACCCAAATGTGGACAGGGGTCAATATTGGGCTGGATCTAAAAACCATGCAAAATATGTGGTTTTGATGCAAACAAAGTGAAACTTGGTTGTCTGTGCTGAATTTGCTTTGAATTTTGGAGTTTGCTCCAATCCAGAGCACAGAAGATCCCACAAAAACAAAATTTGAAGAATTTTTTTTTTTTTTAAAATATAGAAAATGAAATTGTTAGCCAATGGAGCTTTGTAAAACTATGACCACACACCATACCTAGCAATACGGAGGTGCTAAAATAAAGAATATTCTGGCATATCCAGTGCCACTATAATACGTGTCATTTGTAGAAGCACACAGGAACATAATACAAAAGCAATCAAGCAACTTAACACTAAAGCAAACAACCTCAAAATGTTACTTTCTGTCCCTGTAAACTTCCAGAACACACTGGAATATTTGACTTAGATAACTAAAAACCAGAAAGAATAACTATAATAATGGAATCAGAATACACCTCTACCCCCATATAACGCTGTCCTCGGGAGTCAAAAATCTTACTGCGTTATAGGCGAAACTGCGTTATATTGAACTTGCTTTGATCCGCAGGAGTGCGCAGCCCCACCCCCCCGGAGCACTACTTTACTGTGTTATATCCGAATTAGTGTTATATTGGGCCGTGTTATATCGGGGTAGAGGTGTACTAGGTCAATAATCAAAGAAACAAGGTATTAGAACACTTTTAATGTTTTACCTCACCAATATAGTGCTACCTAGTTCCTGGTAACAGTTATAGCATAGCCTTTGTTGAGTAATTAATTCAGGTAATGAATACCTGATCTGAACAGAAATTCATCTGCGTGAGTAATTAGAAATGGGATCCCACCAAAAAATGGGTAATTTTTAGGATCCTTGGTTAGAAGTCAGGTAGTTGATGGGACAGTTTATATGTACTTAAGGCCTCGGCACAAGAAAAGAAATGAATAAAACATATCCCCCTAAGTGTTGTACAACACAATACAGTAATATAATATTTTGGGGAAAATGAGTTTATATTTTAGTTGATATCTTTACAGTTCTTTGGAGAAATATGTGGGGTAAACTGCTGTGTGCGCATGAACTTTCACCATCATTGTTATAAAATTAATATTCATTTTATTAATTCTTTCTTTTCAGAGTGTCAGTGTTCAATTCCTTCTGTAGTACACAGTGATATACAGCATTTGTTTTCTGTTCAGTTTTTCTAAATCTTCCTTTATGATTTTCCCCACTTACAAAGATAGCACCTTCATGAGAAATTGTGAAATATGTTACTCAAGAAAAATACAGAGGGTACTTTTTGTGTTATCTTCCAGTTCATTATAATTTTGTAGGTATATAGATGTGGAATTTCCCTGTGCCATACCTGAGGGAAGTGCAGTTTCAAATCTGGGTAGAACCAGGTAAGGAAAGATGCTTTTTCATTTGGACATAACCTTTCAAACAATTTAAGATTGGTGTAAACTACTGCAGTCACAGAGAAATAACTTCAGTACCAAGTTACCCCTGTTTTACATAGCTATTTATTAGGATATTTGGGAGGAATACGACTTCTGTGTCGCCCAGTACATCACACAGTGTAGAATATAGAATATTTGTTTCTGAAATACAGATCATCTTCATATACAAGCACACACCAATGTACTACCATCAGTAAATTGTGCTTTAAAACAATCATCACTCAACACCAAAGTTTAAGTTTCCTTTTATATCATTTTTGTTAAAAATAGCTTTTAGGGGAAAAGCACACAATATTTATCCATTCTTTCAATTGCTACCATTTTGTTGCCATTGTCAGAATGCAGCAAAGGGTTATGTCTTTTCTGTTTTATTTAGATGTGTGTAAATCTTTCCATGCACAAAGGGAATGTTATCTCCAGTCCATATTGGACTTTTGAAAATAAGGAATAAGAAGAATCTGCTGTACTATCAAATGAGTGAAAGAAATTTAATTAACACCTCTGAAGTGTATGCCTATTTAAGCATCATAACAATATGTGTGTGTTTGTATGTATATATATAAATAAATACACAAACATGGCCAGGTTCTGTACTGTTGAACCTATGTCACCTTGCTGAAGGCCATGGGTATAGCTGAAGGCAGAATTTGGCTCATTCAATTTAATGATCATGTTGACACACAATTTTAAGATTAAATGGCATTGTGTAATTTATTACTAGTTAAAATGCTAGTTTCATGACAGGATAATTTAACCCCAGAGTCAGTGCAGAAACCCCTGCAGTCAAACAAATTAAGAACAATAAGTTAAGAACAGGAAAAAATGAGTTTATGCTAAGAAAAAAATACAAAGATGCAGTATGCTATGTTAGATGTTTAACTATACATAAGAGACAGGTGTCACAAAAACAAACAAAAAAAAATCATGAAGTCAAAGAGAAACTTTAACTCACCAGTTTCCATCTGTTAAATCTGAATCTATGCATAATTGATTATCCATGACTGGTAAGTTCTTCTTTTCCTAGCCTAACATTCCACTAAAGTAAACAGTTTTTGAAAAACAGTAAGGACAGAATAAAAAAAATTTTAAATGAAAAATTACGTATCAATTAATAATATAGCTGACCTGTGTTCGAGAATTTTAATCATGTGAATCTTAAATAGTAATAACTTATTCTGTTATTGTTACATATGGTTAAAAGCTTCTCCATGCTTAAGGAAAGAGGAAAAAGTAGGAATATGTAAGTGTGTGTGTGTGGGGGGGGAAGATACAGAAAGATGAGAAGCAGAGACATAAGGAAAATGTGTCAACAATAAACAAGAGGAAATGAGAAAGAAGGAAAAGATGAAGGTGGAAACTAATCTCTGTGTGTCATTATGACTGCCAGAGTACTGGCAAAGCAGCAGCATCCTTTTATTTCAATTTTAATCATTTCTGAATTTTAATACCCTGCTCCTTTTGTAATTCTCCTGGCATTCCCCATATGCATCCATCCCAGCCAAAACACCAGTGTAAATTAAATGGCACACAACCACACTACTGATGTAGCTTTCCCAAAAGAACCAATCGGGTGACCAAAAGCAGAAAAGGTATGTCTACCTTGTGTCCCTGTGGATGGCTAGCCAATTAACTGACTTAATGTTCCCCACTTTCTTTAATTTTGAAAAGAAGGGCAGTGGTTAAGTAACCTAGTAATACAGAATCATTAAATAAATAAATAAATAAATAAAGCAAGCCAGTAGTAATACAATAATCAGTGACCATCAGGGCCTGGAAAAATGAGTTTGCTCTCACTGGCACTAAGGAGCATCACATGATTATTTAATTACAGCTCTAATTTTTGTCTCGTGGATGGCAACATATCAACAATTAATAGGGCAAATAGAGGAGACTGCATTTTTAAAGAGACAGAACCTATAAAATACTGCTTGGAAATACAGTATGTCAAACAGTAAAATGCTGCTTGAGGAATATCTATCTTTGTGTCACACAAATAGCTGTTTAACTATGCAACAAATATATTAAAAATATCAACTCTGCAGGTATAACTTTATTAGATGGTATCTGAAAGTATTTTTCAGAATAATCAACAATAATAAGCTTGTTTCTCACAGGATAAATCACCAAATACAGCATTTAATGGAATCACAAGTCCAATAAATGAAGATGTTGTTATAAAATGAACACATCCTTTATTTTAAAAGAGTACTACAGTATTCTGCAGTAATTATAGTCAGGATTATAGTCTTCAGTAAGCCAAATTAAATATTACATCTGCAGTGGGACTTAAATAGGAGATTTTCTTACAGAGAGTACTGAATTAGGTTCAGTAGCAATACTGCCGTGGTTGGGTCTATTCATGAAAAATGCTGTAGCGTTATTCTTGTTTTTAATCATAGAAAACATACCTATGATCTAAGCACCCACTTTTGCCCTCAGTTACACATGTGCAGTTCCCATTATGCCTGATCCTGCTAGTAATCTCAGTGCAAAACAACCATTGGCAACTATGCTGAGTTCTGCATATGGAACACTTACATTATTGGGATCACAGTAATCAGTGTAACCTGGACACACATTGGAGGGGGGAAACTGGCACTAGGTAAATATATTATTTTGCTTATGATGATGGTCATTTTCTATAGCTTCTGGTAGTCCAAATCACTGGTCACAAATATTATATAGAATGTATTTCAGACAATAATAGTATTTAAGAGCTAATGCTGGAAAAGAAGATTCTAAATGTCATGTCATATATGTTAAAAAAATAAAAACAAAACAAAAAACCACCCACCACACTACAATTAGATTATTATTATTGAGTCTGTCTACTCAATATGCAATGAAAAGAATTTTTTTTAAAAGTTTTAAAAAATGCCTGTAAGGATATTTGATTTGAATGGGCAAAGGCATATATGAATTGTTTCCATGTACAAGACTGGGAAAGAAAATAAAACTGGTAAACAACAATTTTTAAGTATTACTTAAATAAAAGAAAGTGTTCATTAAAAAAAATTTGAGTTGTTTTGACTGAAGTCATGAAAATTCTGGATTGAAGATCTGAATCTATAATCTTAAAAAGAAGGTTGGCAAGCAAGAGCCTGCATGTAAGACTATATATCATTCTCTTTAAGTGATAGTTAATATACAGATAACATGTCTCACAAAGACTGTAATTAAATGTCTAGTGCACTAGTAATGCTAATAAGCATACAGTATTTATATTACAGTGAATCCTTAGAAACTAAAACTGTCATTTTAAAACTTTTAAGATATTTTTAATTGTTCTTGGGACCTTTAATACCAATCAAGAAAACTCACCTATGAACAAAAATATTCATAGTTAAAATAAACTTTCCACTATTGTTCCCCATATAAAAATCTATTGGTTTAAACTTTAAATTACAAACCTTTTAAACCCAGGTTGAATTTTCACTTGTTTTTGTTTGCTGTTGCTATTTGCTGTATATATATATATATATATATATATATATATATAT